ATCGTCATCTCCCCTATTTAAAAAAAATACATATACATATATTTGTTTGCTTTAGTATTGCTATTAACAGACTCACAAACATTGATTACTTACGTGTATCCTGCAGATGAAAATGTCTTTTTTTCTTTTTCTTTAGTAGTTGGCTTTGGAACAAAAGAAGGCACTACGGCTTTATTAACAGTAGTGGTTGTGTTAACTGTTTTGCCTTGTGTTGTAGTTGTAATTGTCTTAACAATAGTTGTGGTAACAGGTGGTTTTTGGACCGTAGGGGCAGTAGGTCGAATTCCACTTACTGCTACTGTTGACTTTACAGTATACGCTGTAGGACTACGAACTACCGTTGTGACGGGTCGTATCTAAACAAAAAAATGTGCTATCTTCTACAACTTGTTACAAAAACAACCCAGAATAGAAAACCATGAATTACTTTTCTAAAATACTCTACTAATATTCTAGTAAACATAACTTAAAAATGTACTTTTGTTTCAATATCTTACCAGCCTTTGCTGAACTGGCTGAGCAGGTCGAGGGACTGTAGTTGTAGCTGCAGGTATCGGAGTCATTACTCTTATCTGAGTAGTAACAGCAGTAACTGGAGTTACAGGAATTGTTGCTGCTGTCACAGCAACAGTTGGTCTAAGCTGGTTCTGCTACATTATATTACAAAATACATCATGAAATACATAGCAAGTATACGTACAACCTTAAAGGGAAAAGCATGGGCACGGCTGCAATTCTATTCTTACTACTTCTTCTAATAAATGGCTTATTACATTATGCAATACAATATGCTAATTTATTAATTTATGTATTAGTTAATTTATTCTTACCTGTGTAACTATAGGAGTGGCAGACGTTACAGGAAAAACAACATTGGCTGGAGGTGGTTTTATGCCTTCTATGACTAACTCTTTTGTAACAAGGGATTGCCGTAAAAGTGGCAAACTCTTTTTGAGGAATCCAATCAGGCATGGTTGGGGTGATGCATTCAATAATCTTTCGAGTCTATCACAGAACTCCTCGGGTTCGACTTTAGTATCAATTAATTCTTGTATCAAAGTTCGAACATTTCGCTCCACCGCTCTAGGTTCTCGACTAGACAACTCTAATAAGTTTGCTAAAAATTTACGGCACTTTTCTTTGGTATTATCTGTAGTTTGACGCTAAAAATAAAAAATATATTTACGTATATTATTAGCAAATTTATTGAACACCACATGTAATTTATATTGTTGTGAACACTATTGTTAATAGCATTAACTTGATTGTACATACAGGTGTTGGCGTCTGAACTGTCTGAACAGTAGTAACAGGTGGAGTAGGTGTAGTTGTGGCAGCAGCAGTCACAGTCACTGGAGTTGTAGTTGCTGTTGTAATAGTTGCAGCCACAGTCTGTTTCAATTAATAAAAATAATTGTTATCATACTCAAGTTTCAAATTAATCAAAAGATTTTCTTCAATATGCTATTATGAAAGAAAACAAAGAGTACAGTTTACTGCTTAAATAATATCTGCAAGTTTGTAACTTTTCCAGAATTTTATTACTGCTCAAAATAAAAAGTATGTTGCAGCATTGCCAAAAATAAAATAGATGCCATGCTTTCATCTTTGAAATACATATCTCTACTTTAAGATTAAAGAAGATGATATTATTTAATTCTCTGAAGCTCAGTATTAATAAAAAAAAAATATCGAGAAATAGAATAAATAACTTATATCCCACATGCATTTTCTTATTAAATATTTATAGAAATGATCACTGTATCATCTAACTTATATTTTTCATTGTCTCTACATTCCTGCTAATAAATATGCCTTTTCTATATGCATGCTGAACTTCAGACTCATCAAACATAAAATCTGTATGTTAATTATTTCGTCAATCAATTTCAATATTTCAAAATGAACAGACATAATTAATTGATTTGATTTAACAAGTAATTATACTACACATTCAAGACGCACTTGTACCTTGTACAGACTCATCAGTTTTTATTTCAAATTAGTTTATTATTACTTACTATTAATTACTCATATTAATATTATCTTTTTTTTATACTTGATTATAGAAGAACTAAAGTACTTCATGTATCATAATAGAGAAATTTTACACAAAACTAATAATTTAAACATTAAACTATTAAAATGAAATATTTTATATAAGAACTCAGTGTAAAAGTAGTATAAGAAAAATTAACATTCTCCACAATTAACTGCTTTTAGGCTATTTCATATGAGTATCGTTGTGATTCAGAAATTTATAAAAAATTGTAAAAATATTAAAGTTATATTTTCACATATGTATGTAAATTCAATCAAATCAAAATTTTTTTCAAGTATTACTCTACGATACCCTTAACCAATGTAACATGCAATATGTGTATACACGACAAAGGCATTTATTTTAATAAAACAATTGCATTTTTTAAAAACTTAGAAATTCTATGATGACAAGGCATCCAAATAAATAAGCCAATAAAAAACAAAACACTTCATAAACTACAGAAAACCTCTCAGCCATCTATAGGAACTGAAAGTCTAGTATTAAGAACAAAATTTCAAGTAAATTGTAAGTAGAAAGTTTTCTTTTCTTGCTTATGTTAGATGATATTTATGTTCATACAGTATATGTTGAAGACTTTAAAAAATTGAGAAAGAAATTTAGATGCAATAAAAGTGTTACAATTTAAAGAAATTGAATAAGATTGAAACATTGTAAATTAACAAAGAACAACAGAATGTAAACATAATACATAGCCTTACCAATAACACCATTCCAACTAATGTCACAAACTAAAAGTCTACTACAGCACTACATCGAGTCTTGTAAGAGGTATAAGAGTGCGTCACCTGAACTGTTTTTCTTAAGGTGGCGAGTGGTGGGCCAGTGAACTGTGTGTTCAGCCTACTTACAGCCGGCACTGAGGCTAAGCGGTAGGCAGTGCCTGGAGATGGTGCAGCAACCACTGCATTTCCTGCTATACTATTTGGTGTAACCGCAGTACCAGCAGGAGTACCTGCAGTTGGAGGTGGTCCTACCCTTATCAACTGATACTGTCCAGTTTCTGTTTTTAATAATATATGACCTTGAGTCCCAGGTTGAAGACTATGAAGCGTTTGTAATGTTATCTATAAATTTAAAAACAAGTATATTAATGATATTGCTCTTCACAGCCAAATAGGTACACATCATAAACATAATTGTTTACAAGTTTAAGAGCAAAGGAATTATATTAATTTCATTTAGAAGATATATCTTACCCCTGGAGCTCCAGGTCTTCCAGTTCCAATCATGTGTTGACCAATAACTACTCTAGACCCAACTTGCTTTCCTGCTTGCTGTCCTGCCACTGGCGTGCCAGGACGCATCGCGTTCACGTTAAGAATTTGCACATTGCTGGGCACTATCGTAGATGTAACCCCAGCCTTACCCTGTAGCGCTGTGCTGACGGCATTGCCAGCCACAGAAACAGGAACAGACATTGGAACGGAAACCATGCCACTGGGTGCTACACTAGTCTTTATCACTAAAGCTGTACCTGTTGGCTTATTTACACTAGCCACTGTTTGACTACCTGTTTCACTAACCGAGCTAACATTAGTTACAACATTCGATGTTGTCTGTAACACTGCTTGGGATGTTATTCCCAATGTGCCATTGGCTAGCTGTCCAACAGTTTGCGTAGGAAAGGAAAGTTTATTATTGACATTTGCTACCCCCGTGGTTGCTATTACCTGACCAACAGTCGGATAAATAATCTTGACAGGCTCGTGCGCTTTAGTAAGGCTCGGTATATGTGTTGTTTGATTACTGGTCACCTGGTTTGTAGTAACTTGATTGATATAAGTAGCAGGGGGGACTGCTGATTGTGTATGCTGTTGCTGCTGTTGTGTAGTAACCTGTGGCGCCACTGTGTTTGAGGTAACCACGTTTACTGGGAGAAGAGTGCTCGTTGTAATGGACTTCGTAACTTCTTGAGTCATCAGACTATTTACTGTAGTAGCACCGCCACCGTTCGAAACCCCATGTTTCTGTGGCTGTACCGCGTTGATGGTGCCCCCGTTGGAAATACCACTGTTCACCTGATGATTCTGCTGGCTGACTGACGCAGAACTTGCTTGATGACCAGAGACAGCCGGCGTCGATGTTACTAGTTGCGTCTCAAGGGAGCCCACTATCGCGTTCACTGCGGATTCATCGACGTCCGTGCTCAGAGCTTCCTCCAGAAACTTAGCTGACGCCATTTTCTTCCAAGCTCCAACTGTAAACTGATCTGCGCATGCGCCTGTCGCAAATTGTTCCCATGGTGCATTGCCCCCCCTAGCGCAGCTGAAAATTATACGCGGCCTTTCTTCTGTTTACCATCCGGCGGTACTCGAATTGATTAATATTTCTCACCATTGTGAAAAATCGTATCAATCCTTTTTCATTCGAGCCTCGGATTACCATGTTCTCTGCCACCAGGATATCGGGAAAGCGATTATCGCCATATTACGTACAACGTTGATCATTTATGTTATGGCTGTCAATACTCGGCATGCAAACACGTCACCCGCCAAAATGGCTATCCTCGAAACTGTAGATTCGTACACGATTTCTTTCTCTGATAACGATGTCATATTGGCATATAATTCGAAAAATTATAAAAAATCTATAAAAATTTTCAATCCCTGAGAGCTCTATACATTTACTTCCTTTGAGTGTACCGTTAGTAACAGTTGCTTCTACATACGCGTTCCGCAATCAATCGTATCTGATCCACTGCTATCCATTACGTATTCCGCAATGCTTCATAACTAATACATTTCAAAATTGTGAACGAGACTTAACGATTTCCAATCCGACTGGTCTGCCATCTATACGAAACGGATGTTAAAAGAGAAATCATTTCTGCGTAGTGTATGGTAGTGTAGCTCATCGTGTCTCAATGCCATATGTGAAAACATATGAAACAATTTAAATTTTCGTATGTCCACATTTACTTGTTATATTTAATAATATTATGTATCCCTCTAAAGAAACCAAAGTGTAGTAGGTATTATGTATAACAATAGAAATTTAATATTTCGTAATACTCGTACATACATGCACATACGCTTTTTTGTATTTTTTCCTTAATTCTTTTTGTATTTTTACACTATGTACACATCGTTATTAGCGCTCGTTGAACGACTTACATATAAAAATGATATCTTTAACATCCTATAAAGTACAATAGTCGTCAATATTTTATTAAAACGCATCACATTTGCAGTCGAGAATGAAAAATTTGTATACCATGTATTCCGACTAATTTCGACTAACCTAAAAGAGAGATCCTTGTATACTATTTACGTTTAGATCTTCGCATTCTACTTTTAGACTCATTCTAGTGTTAGAATGAATGGTTGGCAGCCTATTATTTTGAGTAATCGTTCCTGCAGTGAAACTGATAATCTCAAATTGAAGTGCATAAAAAAATTCTTCTCATCGTACACATAGTATATAAATGTAAGATATAATGTCAAGTTAATTTATCCATTGAGCTCTATCCTAACTGGAGTGTGAACTGCGAGAGAGAAGCCGGTCCGAGAGAGATGCAAGATGAGTGGTTCCGGTGGTACTATCCTATAGCAAATTTATGTGTGGAGAGAGAACAGACTCCTCTTTGTTTGAATTTCGCAACACTCCAGAAATTATTTACGGATTAATTATGTACAGATTTGAACTTTATTTCCTTTTTATTTATATATAAAACGATAGAAACATTAATAATAATGTAATAATAATGAAATAGTATACATAATTTACATACCATAATTTAGATCATATAAATATATACAATTTGGTATAGAGCTAAATTTTATTATTTGTCACAATTCAATTTATATTGTATTTATTCAATTTTATACGGAAAAGAACCTGAAAGTAACTCACTCGACAATGCTCAGCGATGCTCGGGTAGGTTATGTTACGGCGTACGTTTGTTCCTCCTCTACAAATAAATTTGCTATAGGATAATACCGGAACCACCCATTTTGCATTTCTCTCGGACCTCCGTCGCCTCTACTTCTTACTACAGAGTTCACGCTCCAGTTAGGATAGAGCTCAATGAATTTATCACAAAATATGATATAGCATGTTTTACGGCGTTGGCGACCAATGAGGCCAAGTTTTGATGACACTGTACAAGGCATCACCCGGACTTAATGTCCGAGAGACTTGTCGATGTCCCAGTAATTTATAATCTGGCGCAATTTTACCAGCTTCTACCCCTAGTTCGATAAGTCGTTGCGCTGCATACAGTTGACTCTTGGGTGGTACAACAGTATTAAATGTACCAATAAAAGAAATAGCTATGCTTTTATTATTGTATCCAAAGGATTGGGCACCCATGTAATCCCAACTTCGGCCAACGTATACGAGTCCATCACCGCCAACGAGAAAGTTATAAGCGATATCCGACCAATTTCGAGATTCGATGTGAAACGTCTGAGCAAATCGAACGCGAAACGTACATTCCGATTGCGTTGAACAGAAATCGGTAGCTGTGTGACTGATGATCACGTACGGTACCGGAAGTTTCATTTTTGTCAATTGCTCTGTAGGCGGTTGAGCACCCCATTCGTTTCGTGTAACAAAACGTACATTCTCCACTCCTACATCTGCAACTTAAATATCCAAATCCAAGTTAGACGTGAAATGTTGATTCATGTCGCTTTAACACGTTGACTGCCAGACTGATACTCTTGAAAATTTCTATTGTGATTAAGTTTTGTTTCTAGGCTATTGGAAGCTACATAATCAAACCTTTATTGTGGGATTTATTTTTATAACTTCATTGAAGTTTAAGAATTCAATTCAAATTTATTTTCTTTGTTACTGAACATTCAAAATTAATTTTGTTTGTTCTTCAGTGAGAAGCACTGTCACCCATATATGGGTGACATGGCGATCAACGTGTTCAAGCCAAGAATATTTATTGTTAACATTCTACTGCGTATATTTGTATATTATATATTGTAAATTCATAAGGAATCGTATCAGTATCCTGTGTATTTATGAAGATGAGAAATTATACCTGGTATTTCCGGGAAAATAGGTGCTGGTGGAGTAGCAGCGCTAGTCAAGATATAGACGCAAGCGACGACCACAGCAGTCACGAAACTTAAGACTAGTATCAAGAAAATCGCCACGCATCTTTGATTCCATAGCCATTTTGTTACTGAAAGAGTACAATAAAATTGCTTAAGTGAAGTTAACGAAACGTTCTTTATTTATGTTGTTAATATTATTCACTACTACAAAAAAAAAGACCACTGATAATGTCGCAAAGATAAAATCCGGAAGTAAATCTAATAAAAGATGTTTGATTAACAAAAGTCTGCAAATTCTTTCACAAGCTCAGCAATGGCCGATTTAGATAAAACATTTTTACTCCAGATCTGTAAGCTGTTAAAATGCCTATGATAAGATCTGTGGTATTGATTTATTCTTAATCGCTTTACGTTCGTATACAATATGTCTCACTAGAAACATGCTTTTACGTTAATATTATACTTGCGTTGTTTCATTATCATTATTTGAATCTGGTGAAGATTCAATAGAAGCTTCGAATCATCGTCGCAATAATAGTAGCCAGTCATCTGCATAGTAAATGTATATGGTAGTATTCTAAAAATGTGCCATTAGGTAACTACAATGATCATTAATCAAGATAAAGTTAATCGTTAAAAGACATCCTTCGTGAAAATATATCTGACATAACTATGCAGCTGAATTTCTCTTTTCGTATAACAGTGAACTTAATTGCAATAATAAGCATTATCAACATCCATGTTTCCCAATTCTACGAAACACTTATGCGGTTATACCTCCATCGAGGTCGCATTTATTAGTTTACACGAAATAAATACGACAGACAGTGCGAATAAAATATAGTCGTACAGTAATGTCTCAGTTCATAATCAAAATCACGTCAAATCATTGATAATACTCTCGAGAAGATACAATGGAAAATAAAAAGTGTTTACATTACGTGGCCATTACATAGAAACGCGGCGCGGCTCGAGACGAATATAAACAGTGTTGGAAGTGATTTCTGTCCACGTATCCGTGGATAAAGAAAAACAAGACATTATTGTACAACATTCTTGTCATAATCACCGTTTTCAAAGGTCGAATTTTGAGACAAGATTGGTCTATTGGCGTCTCCGTTAGCATTAGGCAAATCAGATGCGTTGATATGACTAGAGGCACTTGCAACAGTATCGTAATCCTTTACTGGAATTGGGTTGGTGTAAACGAACTGCTTTATAGTCACAGGACCTTTGTAAAAGGTCTTGTTACCGAGATGCACATTGGTCGAGTTCTTTACACGCACATCACCAAAATTCGAGGTGTCTGCGTTAGGCAGTACCACATTCCCATCCGCGGTGGTTACTTGCTGTTGGTGCTGAAACACCGCAGGTACAGGTAAATCTGGTACCCAGTCTCCATCTTCGACGTCTGTTTCCTCCTCTTCCTCTTCGTCATTATCGTCTAAGTCACTGCACTGCGTAGAGGAACCGACAAGGCTGCCATTTCTAGCGACGATGTCCTTGACAGGGAGTACAACCTCGCCAGGTTTGTTAACAGCTTCGTGGTTATTGGAAACGGCGTTGCTGTTGGCTTGATCTTGATCCTTCTGATGGCTGTTCTCGTCTGGTACTGTTTGCTGATGCTGTTGCACCAATGTCACCATGCCCAAGCACTGACGAACAAGAACGTTCCTTGCTACCGTTTGTTCCGAAAGAATCGTCATTCAATTTTAATGTATAATTTCCCGCAACGAGTCGATAGCCGTGACCGTTTACCTTGACTGGTATGCATGACGTGTCGTGAACAACGTTAGGGAAAAGGGAATTCATGATTGTGAATTACCCGGCACGATTAGCTTTGGAAGATTCCAAACGATTTATGATTTCAGAGAAATAAAAATTTAAATAAAATTCCAGTTACACGTGGGCGTGTGTTTGCTTCCTTCCCGATAACCATTATCGATTAAGGAAATTTTCAGTTGTTCGTAACGGTTATCGATGAGGAAATGTATGAATTTATGAATACCGATGTTTCTCGTAAAAATTTTAGGGGTAACTGTGCCAGTTGTAAATTACAAAGAAAATTCCGAAAATCCATTAACGTCGATGAAATCGTTGACTATATTTAGAAAGTCGGAAAACGATGGGTCGTATAACGGTTTAGAACATTAGGATGCTAATTTCAGTTTCTGGAGGACGTCAAATTTGTAGACTAGCAGTAATTCAAAGCTATCCTTGATTATCTGAAAAATTCGATACGATCGCTATTTGTTTAAGAATCGTTCTGACAAAGGCTTACTTTGTTATAAATTGACGTTGTTAAGACAAAATAGATTACGACTATTCCTCGTTTAGATGATCCAACGTTTTATTTGGAGCATCGTGTGGCATGTTAGTCGTGCTATTCCGTGTCAAAGTTCATCGTACACGATGAATTTGAAGATAAGTTTATAGTTTTGAACAAATTAATATTTACTTTATGTTTTGACTCTTCATTTAGGTCATCTTCAGAACATACACCTCTCACAATTTTATACACATCATCTATGTTTCCATACTTCTTTAATAGAATAATTAAACTAACCAATGTATCGCACGTATATGTAAACATTTATAGGTTCCGAAGATGACTCGAACAAAGTATAAAGTAAATAATAACGTTATGAAAGCATCAGCTTTAAATTTATATCCATGCAAATTTATCTATGAATACTTCCATAGCTCTCGTTGCAATAAAAGCCTATCGGAAGTTATATGAAGTTGATACCGCGGACATACTCGATAATAACAATGGCGATGACGTTGAAAAAAGAAGCGACGATGATGGAAAATGTAAAAACTAATTTCAGTTTTTTTTTTGTTTCTTGATACATGCATTGAGTAACTAAAAAATAATTACCTCGCACAAGTCATCGCTTCTGTCGTCCGCGATCACTTTGATAGCGTTTAATTATCATCAGCTTACAACAACATGGCGTCTTCTTGAATGCGTTTCCTTCGTCAGTGCTCGATAATAAGATCTCGAAAAAAACCTTCACGAAATTTCACGATTATCAAGTTACTTACACATAACGCGCCACTTACACCACGCTACGTCGATTCTTCGATTTTGTCGACGAATCGTTTAAAAATTATACATTTGACGATCTCATCACGATTCTACAACACTGTCGCGTACGATGCAGCCGATAATGCAGCTCAAGCTGAACACTTCTACGCGACACGACTATTTAAACCTCTCGGTTTCTTTACAAAGATATACCGGTTCGAAATAAGTATGGAGCCGCTTAACTCAAATTACTGGGTTCTATAATCGATTCGGTAAATGCAACATTCCGTGGTTCCGTTCCTTGGTACATATGCCCGTGTACTGTAGTTTCGCAAATCTACGTCACTGCTTCATGACGTGAGACGAGTATCACGAAGGACGTGAATACGCGAACGCTACTCGTTGGAGGAGGAAATCTTCGTGAGCCCCGATGCGTCACGGAATTAAAGTAGAAATAAAAGGTAAAACTGGTCCCTGGTGAAAAGTCGACGCTTTGGCGACGATTTCACTCGTAACACGCCGTACGATAAAAGCACAGGTCATAATCGACGAAAACTAAACGGGACACTATTCTGAATCACGCCCGGTGTCGATATTATCTTTCCGCTAATCGTCGTCGTGACGGACTGTCGACGCTTCGACGATCGAGCTGGAAAATCGCGTGCAACCCCACTCTGCATCTCCTCTCTTCGCCTGCAACTGGAAATTCTGACCATGCGTTCGCATAATTCGTATTGTAACCAGTGCTGTGTAAGTAGATGGTACCGATTAAACCACAGCACTGATTATAACAGTGATTCCCTAACCATCCCAGTTGGTCATGAGATTTCATGTACGATTGAATGATAGTAGATGACCCGTCTTAGGGTTTTCCCAGTTTTTCTCGCGATAGTCATAATTACGTTCAGAATGAAGCGAAACGCAGATTAAATAGTGGGATATTTTTCAATTGGAATACGAATTAATTGGATTTTTTCGATGCTGTTCCCTCGTACTAGAAGCGGCAATCATTTTGCGCTTACTATCTTGTGTGTACTTTCTCTTCAATAAAACTCTCGCAACGTCCGCCAATGCTGCAAATAAACACACGAACCGATAAGAGACATTCATGTTTCATTGAAAATTATCTGCACATACATCCATATATAAACATTATAGTAATGCTAAATCCTGAGTATATACTCTGAGAACGTTTTCTGAGATTTCAAATATTATTATAATAAAAGAGATTGCAAAATTCTGATATACTAACCTTTGTATTGCTCTACATATCAAAACTAGCTGGTGACCTTCATATTTTGGTTTATATCTCAGAAATAGGTTTCTGAATCGCAATCTCTGAAAAAGAGTAATTATATTAAATTTTATTTAGTCTTAAAATGTTTGATTATAAGTTCATACATCATTATGCACCTAGCTATGCATACAAGATAAAAGATATAACCGGTTGCGTAATGTTTTGTTGTGTTTTTTTTTTTGCAGTAACCACAGTCGTATCCAAGTCATATCGTTGGTTTTCAATTATGCGTTGAATTATGCTAAGAAACAAAGATTATTGATTGTGATAATTTATGCAGGACACAGGCGCTGTAAAATAAACGTAATTGAGCCTAATAAAACAGATGCAAAGACTATGTATACTTATAATAAAATTCTATCGTAATTATTGGATTTAAAATAAAAAATCGATATTTATGAAACATTTTATATTGACAATGTGTAATAACACAATGGATTATAATTTTAAATTATGTTTCACTACGTTGTAGTGTTCGAAAATTTATCGACAGATAATAATTCATGAGTTTCATTGTTATTTTTAACTACTTTATCGCAGGTTATGTCAGCGACATCTTGCGGCGGCTTGATGAACTATTTGCGGATATTACCATTTATCGGTAATATAAAATATAACGAGTCGTCGATAACGACACTGTAATCATATTTATGTACTGACATTTGTATTTTCTTTCCTAAACTTAGAGGAGTGTGTAAACGAAGTTAGTTTTATTTTTGTAGATACCTTGTCAGTAGAAACTTTTAACAGTGAAGATATGAATTGTCTATTAAAATTGTGAATAAAATTTTATGTTTTAGAAGATATGTACATTGTTTTCATATCACAACTAATCATTTGTACATTGAATAAATTCATCTTTTGAAAATGTTGACAATACAATTCGGACAATGTGGAAATCAACTAGGACATACATTATTTTCAAAGATATCATCTGACATGGAATGCATGAATACAGGTGTATCCCATAATACTAATTATCGATATTTGGAAGATACATTTAATATATGGTTTAATGGTATTTCTAAACAAGGTAAACATTTAGCAAGAGCAATTCTTGTGGATACAGAGCAGAAAGTAATAAACAAAATTTGTAACAATCCAACTAATCTGTGGACATATGAAACCAAAAATGTAATTTGTAAAGCTGATGGAGGTTGTGCAAATAATTGGGGATACGGTTATTTGATAAAAGGATACGAGTTAAGAGAGACAATACTAAATTCTGTAAGGTTAGAAATAGAGAGGACAGATCATTTAAATGGATTTCTTTTGCTTCTAAGTTCAGCGGGTGGTACAGGATCTGGTATTGGAAGTAACATTGCACAACTATTACGCGAGGAATATAAAACAAAACCAATTGTTACAACAACAATATTACCATTCTCATTTGGTGAAGTGTGCACTCAGAACTATAATACATTATTTACTTTGGCAAAACTGTACAACCACAGTGACTTGAATATTCTATTTGAGAATGAACAAGTACATAATATATGTAAAAATTTACTGAAAAATACAGCTACAAATTTAGAAGATATAAATGAAATTGTTTCTGAAAAATTATTAGCTGTTCTTCAACCAATAAATCATTTAAGACATAGTGTAAATTCATTGGTATCTAAGATAGCATCTCATCCTTCTTATAAATTAGCAACAATTAATAGTACTCCGCATATACCTAAAACATCTTCAGAATATGAATCTATGTGTAATTGGGATTCATATGTACACCATCTAAAACAAACACTTCGTATATCAAGTCTAAATTCACAGTTAACTGATTTTGAACTAAAAGTACCATCCAGTTCAAGAAGTAGTACTAAACATTATGTTTACACCTGTTCTGTATCAAATATTCTAATAACACGTGGCCCCATAACAGATCAAGATTGTATCATAACTGATGAATTTAGAAAGAAACATTTATATGCAAATTGGAATACTACTGGCTGGTTTTCCCACTTACACCAAAAACGAAAGCTCTTAAATCACGACAAATATCTTGCCTTGATTACCAATAATTCACAAATTGCTCAACCTCTAGATGTACTTTTAAACAAATCTTGGAAGTCTTACATTCATGGTGCATTTTTGCATCAATACAAACGGTTTGGTTTAGAAGAGGATGACTTTTTACAAGCGTTTGCAGTAGTCGAAAATATTGTAAAAGAGTATAAGGAATTAGTTGCACATATAAAATAATAATAAACCCATTATTTAACCCATTAATTATAATGGTTTTAGGGAAAATTGTAAATAAATTAAATGTTTTTATTATCGTACCATCGCATAGAGGGTAATTGCGTCGTTATTATGCATACGAACGTTAAAATATGCAGTGACGATAAATAGAAACATAAAGGAAGACAAAATGGGAGTATGAAGAAAGAAGAGAGAAACGTAATAGATCGAGGGCGGCTTTCAGTTCAACTTGGGGAGAGTGAGATGAAATAGAACGAGCTGCTTTGCTAAATACATCCCTCCTACGATCGTTGAAACGCGTTCTGCGCTTGTGCAAAGGGGAGACGCAATCCGTCGAATAATACAAAAACAGGACGGAAAGCCCTAACCGTTTCCAAGAAATAACGGAAAGACTTCTAGGAATCGGAGGTCATCTCTACTCCCCTACTCCCATATTTATCCGAGGAAAATAGAGAGAATGAATTTCTTGGAAATACTTTCACATCCCACATTGATTTTGAAGAAATAAATTCTATCATACTAGTGTTACGATTATGTAATTTATATTGGAATTATTGTCTGGTTATTATTATATGTGTATAATTAATATATACTTTTGTAACATTATGTACAGTACCCATTCCGAAAATATTAAATAAGAAACGTTAAAAGTGAACATGAATTTCTTCAAATTCAACGCCCTGCAGTATCTACATAAAATGTTTCAAGGGCAGAGTATTAGACGCGTTATGAAGGAGGTGGAAAAAAGGAAATACCTAGGTGTAGCTCGGAGAATACTACATAAACAACGACAGATGCACTATCTGCACCGTTCTTTAGCATCAGTCAAGCGTTACAGGTACAGCCACGATTGTCAGGAACTCGTTTGCTGCCCCTTCGTCGCCCCCACTGTAAGTCCTAACTATTGAGCACCTTTAAGATTAAACATGGCACCCCACCACTAATCTCCTGGATCCTACGATGGTGTGTGTACCCAAAAAAAAAAAGGAAAGGTTTACATACATCACTTACTTGCGTATGTTTCAGGGTACGAAGAGTCCACATAGAATTCATAAAATCCTCTTTCCTTCTCGATAAAACAAGAAGATAATACTAACATAGCTTTGTGTTAGCGATTTTTCATAATACGGGGTGGAAGGAAGTAACATGTTGGAGTAGTGGCGCCATCTAACGTATTCAGGGAAGCGTACCTGTTATATCCCAAATACTTCTTTCATTTCGAAGGATCATTTCAAAACGCAACGATGTTTTAGCACACTTACGATACCATAATATAGACCAATCAAATTAAAGATTTTATACAAAAATAAACATGTAAGTATCTAAATGAAAGATATAGTCCCAAAAATGTTGTAACACCTTGAAATGGGTGGTTCGGGAGGTGATTTGAAACAACCTTTTCCTTAGCGAAAATGTTGTCCGAGGCTTCGTTGAGGAGATATTAACGGAAAACACTGATCAATCAGAGCGCGCGTAGACCGTTGGAGCGGCTGCGGTAGCGAAGGCTATGTCCTAAGCGGCCGCGCTTGTACACGAACAAGCGACTCGACGTGCATCATCGAAGTACATTGACGCAGCCGCTTAGCACGTAGCCTTCGCTACCACGGCCGCTCCAACGGTATACGCGAGATCTGATTGGTCGACGTTTTCCGTTAACATCTCCTCAACGAAGCCTCGGACAACATTTTCGCTAAGGAAAAAGTTGTTTCAAATCACCTCCCGAACCACCCATTTCAAGGTGTTACAACATTTTTGGGACACCCTGTATTTTTATCATATTTTCTTGAAGCATGCGCCCCTGTAATCCTGCATACAGCACAGAGCACAATACGCAGTGGATTGGTGTGCACGACTCGAATACCAAGAGGCGTGGTTTGAATAGATGGACCTGTTCCAACATGCCCCCCTCTGCTGCATAATACAGAGACGCAGTCTTTATATACCACATAGAGGGGGTCTGTACACCGACAAAGAAACGGGCGCACTCTGGTGTCGAAGCCGTAGACGATGGTGCGCGCCATTTTGTTTAGTGTCCGCTGGACGCGTCGTGCGTCGGGGTGTTGCGGGGTTGTTTTCATGACCGTCAACAAAAAGATATTCGCGGGTCTCTCAGCTCGCCTACAACTCTGACAGATACATATTGTGGTCACGTTCGAGATAGTGTAATACGTGCATATTCATCCGTATGATTATTGTGACGTGCAAAGCCAGGATAATTTCTCTGAGAGAGTCCAAGACTCTCTCGTGCATCTTTAGTGTCAGAGTCAGCAGTTGACGAGGACTTCGCAAATGCATGGCGCCAGTCAGAACTTTATGGATACTTCGTAGGGAATCGTTGTCGTTGTCGGCGGAAATTTTTTCTACAGGTAAGAAAAGAGGGGTTGTAGCGTGAGCTTAATCGATAAAGCGTCTCCCGTTCTCTTCCTTCTTCCTCGATTCCAAACAGCGGACTCTCGTACCGTTCGTTCTATTTTTTGCAAGTATATGACGCTTCATGCTTCGGCGAGTTTTTCATGCCAAATATCGTGGAGCCCTGACCACGGTAGTGTCTCGCTTGTGCAAGCCGCTCGAGGAAAGTGAAAGCTCGTTCCCGATCGTTCTGCATTGAGTACGGATCTCGTTGCGTCCGTCGCAGCGGCACGCGTTTTCTAGGTACTACTCTCCCAGTGTTACACGAAACGAAACGTCACTATGGTTAAAATTGTCGCCACTCGGAATAATGTTTCGTTTACCTTTTCGATAGATCTATCGATCTCTCCTATACAAATAACAAAGAAAAGAATTTCGTCGAACTTTTAACAAAGATAACGTATTCGAAACCAGTAAAATATTGAAATTTAGTACTGGTGTGTAGAGAGAAACAAATGGTTGTAATTTATATTTCAAAAGAAATTTTATAGGAATTACTTTATAGCGTCGGAAAACATCGTTAGCTGTGCTTATCTTAATCGTAAGAAGTATAGTTAACAGTCTTCATTAAGGTTTTATGTTTCTCTCTCTATACTACATGCTATCGATCATACCAATTGCATTGAATTCTATTTCACTTGTATCCGAAAAGGTAGAGTTCGAGCATAATAGAATTCATTTCGTCGGAATATTATTAATACGTCCGTTTAAAAGCGGGTCGTTATAATGCGTGTACCGATCACTTTGATACTATAGACAGCATTGCGATCACTGAATTTATCGGGTGATTTCAATGCTAGGTTGTGCAGTACATTGTGTTACTCTAACGAAATATTTAACAAATGCACATGAATTATTATACTTTTACGTCAATGTACGGGATTGCATAACGAAGATGACATGAATACGCACAGATAAATGATAATCGAAGTTGATCGATCTAGTACATTCCGTTCTTTTTTTTTACTAGATTGGAATAACCATTATATCGTTTTCCAGAGCTATAATTTGATAGTATAATGTTTAGATAAAACCATTAGCTCCGCCAGTGTTATTTTCGTATTGTTTCGCGTTACTCGTTCGTTCAATGAAGCAGATTGCATTTCGCGCCCTTCGAACGACAGTGAAAATAAATTTTCTTTAACGTCATCCCAGACATATATGATAAACGTTCTAAGGGTCGAAGATGATGTAATATATTCTATTAACTTTATTAAATTTGTCGCTTCAAGTTAGTCATCGAGTTTGTACGTGATCCGATTTACCTTCAGTCTTCATGGTTAATATTTTATGAATTTTTGTCATTCATAAGATAAATATGTTTCTATTTTTCCACTGTAACGTTGCGGGTGGCCGATAAAGTGACAAAATCGGCAGAGACGATGAACGCCCCCTCATTACCAGACGTTTTCCCCAACTTTACACATGGGAATACGTACGTACGCCCAAGAAAGAAGGGGTGCAACGTGTTCACTCTTTTGGAACATCGATCCGCCAACTCAAGCAAAACTTTAAGTACCCCTTTCACTGTATCAGTTATTCGCAAGTGCACTGTATAACTGAAAAATACGTTTGATGTAACAAAACATTGTAGACAATTTATTAATCGTTGATCGGACTTACTCCTAATGTTAATGTTCCTCTAAAGACCAGAGAGTTTCATTAATATAATATTGAATCAATAAATGATATTCTTAATTATTTAAAGGGCCTAGCCGATTAAGATGGTCAAAACTGCCCTTAGATCTTTTTCAATATCTCTTGAATCATTCGAAAGCTAACCAAGAAAAACCCTTCTGAGTAAAATTTTAATCCTCTAGCTTGCCCGTGAGGGTAGTTACAGGGTAAAATAGATTTTACGCTTTCCGGCGCATTTTCCGATCTCAAATACGTTCTAAAATTCTGAAAAAAATCTGACACATTCCGGATCCTAAGACGCATTTTTGAGAATTTTCTCAGATTTTTTTGATGCCAACTGTGTTCGTAAGAAATAAAAAACCTCAAAAAAATCGGAAGTTCGGCTCCTTCATTGTCAAAAACAATACAAACTCGCAGCAAAAACGTCGAAAAAATTCAGTTTGTATTGTTTTTGACAATGAAGGAGCCGAACTTCCGATTTTTT